GCTTTGTCCTCCTGGACCTCAAAGGTCTGACCTGGGCACTGGGCACTGGGCACTGGACACTGGACACTGGGCACTGGGCACTGGGCTGACCACTGGACGTAAACTGTGGTCCACATAGCGTTGACCGGTCATGTTCCCTTACACGATCATCAGATCCGTCCCGTTGTCGTATGTGGTGCCAGCCCAGACCATGACGCTGCCACCACCGTATCGTGCTCTGGGTCCAGTCGGGTAGCACGTGCCTCTCCCCACGCCGTCTCCAAACACGTCAACATCTCTAAAGCGTCAGGAGAACGTTGATTCATCAGAAAACATGGTGTTACTGCCGCTGTTGACGAAATCCAAAGGGCTGTGCCCACTGTTGTCTGAGACGCCTCTGAAAGGGTGTTTTGATTTCAGACCCGAAGTTTTCAACTTGTTGCTTTTCTTTGACGTCAAACGTCGGACTCCTGTGGCAGCCCTGCAATTGTCCCTCAGTTCTGGTTCAGACATTCATGTGTTCCTCAACGTTCCTCAACGCAATGGGGCGTGTGTTACACCCAATCTGTGCAACTGCACATTGCGTGCATCGGGGAGGCCGTTTGCCCAATGCGTACAATGGTCAATACAGCTTGCCCAATGCATGCGACCCGTGAAGATCCGGGGTAGAATATATAGGTCTTCAGCAACCCATACTTGACGTAAAAGGTGACTATGCTTGTCGTAAAAGGCGACTAACGGGATCGGGTGGTCAGGCTCGATGACTTGGTTGATGCATGTCATCGATCCCAAATGCGTTGATTGATGTTCATTATATCAATCACTGGATTGTCTGGTCCAGACTCGAATATTTACAGACCGCTGTCATATAGCAAGAATATTGCTGAGTGCGGCGTTAAACAACAAACCAACCCAATGCATGCGATGTGCAAACAATTATCTGTTCATTGCATGCAACGGGCAATAGTTGTGAATAGAAACATAATTCTCCAAATATTTCACAATAAGGCCAACCAGCTTTAGGACATCCCATTACAGGTCACGTCACAACGACCTTCAGCGAACTTTGTCCTTCGGACGTCTGTGAATAAGATTTTAAAACTCATACACGTCACTGTCCATTGCTTGCACAGGTTGGGTGTGACACGTACATATTGACCCTGTAATCTTTCTTGGTTTTCCTCTACCCGCCCTAATCCCAATCCGGCCTTTGCCGATATATTTCCATCAGTCGGGGTATCACATTTTTAGATTTACCAAAGTGTTTGGCAACTGCATTCTATGATCGACCAGCCTCAATCATCTTGCTCGCACATTTTGATTTCCTGTCACGTAACATTTGAAGGCATTTGCCTTCGTTGTACTCCATCAAGGAAGTGAGTGAGTGAGTGAGTATGGTTTTACGCCGCTTTTAGCAATATTCCAGCAATATCACGGCGGGGGACACCAGAAATGGGCTTCACACATTGTACCCATGTCGGGAATCGAACCCGGGTCTTCGGCGTGACGAGCGAACGCTTTAACCACTAGGCTACCCGACCGCCCCTCCATCAAGGAAGTACATGGGTGTGAGGTTTATTGGAACGTGCAAGTAACCAGGATGTGTCACCGTCGACGGCATGTTTTACACGTGCAGTGTGCAGAGTTTGAGCGTCAGCGTCCAGTCACTGTGTCTCGTGCAGCAAAGCTGGTCATGTAATTTTTACAGCTATTGTTCCTCGCTTATCTTTCCAGTGGCATGTGACGCTGTAGGCCAGTGTCTCAAGAATAATGTTATCCATGGTTCTTGTTACCATAGGCCGATCGCGCCCTTAGTTTATCCAGAGACCATATAATCTTTTATATGGTCTCTGGTTTATCCTACAACTTGTGCACAATCATTATTTTTCTTGGCGAACCATGTTCTTTAGTCCCGACCTCGTGTGATTAAAGGTATGTTAATTGGTTACAGGAACACTGGCCTGTGCACCATTGACCTCGTGTGATTAAAGGTATGTTAATTGGTTACAGGAACACTGGCCTATGCACCATTGACCCCGTGTGATTAAAGGTATGTTAATTGGTTACAGGAACACTGGCCTATGCACCATTGGCCCCGTGTGATTAAAGGTATGTTAATTGGTTACAGAAACACTGGCCTATGCACCATTGACCCCGTGTGATTAAAGGTATGTTAATTGGTTACAGAAACACTGGCCTATGCACCATTGGCCCCGTGTGATTAAAGGTATGTTAATTGGTTACAGAAACACTGGCCTATGCACCATTGACCCCGTGTGATTAAAGGTATGTTAATTGGTTACAGGAACACTGGCCTATGCACCATTGACCCCGTGTGATTAAAGGTATGTTAATTGGTTACAGGAACACTGGCCTATGCACCATTGGCCCCGTGTGATTAAAGGTATGTTAATTGGTTACAGGAACACTGGCCTATGCACCATTGACCCCGTGTGATTAAAGGTATGTTAATTGGTTACAGGAACACTGGCCTATGCACCATTGACCTCGTGTGATTAAAGGTATGTTAATTGGTTACAGGAACACTGGCCTATGCACCATTGACCCCGTGTGATTAAAGGTATGTTAATTGGTTACAGGAACACTGGCCTATGCACCATTGACCTCGTGTGATTAAAGGTATGTTAATTGGTTACAGAAACACTGGCCTATGCACCATTGACCTCGTGTGATTAAAGGTATGTTAATTGGTTACAGGAACACTGGCCTATGCACCATTGGCCCCGTGTGATTAAAGGTATGTTAATTGGTTACAGGAACACTGGCCTATGCACCATTGACCTCGTGTGATTAAAGGTATGTTAATTGGTTACAGGAACACTGGCCTATGCACCATTGGCCCCGTGTGATTAAAGGTATGTTAATTGGTTACAGGAACACTGGCCTATGCACCATTGACCTCGTGTGATTAAAGGTATGTTAATTGGTTACAGGAACACTGGCCTATGCACCATTGACCCCGTGTGATTAAAGGTATGTTAATTGGTTACAGGAACACTGGCCTATGCACTGTTGACCCCGTGTGATTAAAGATATGTTTATTGGTTACAGGAACACTGGCCTATGCACCATTGACCCCGTGTGATTAAAGGTATGTTAATTGGTTACAGGAACACTGGCCTATGCACTGTTGACCCCGTGTGATTAAAGATATGTTAATTGGTTACAGGAACACTGGCCTATGCACCATTGGCCCCGTGTAATTAAAGGTATGTTAATTGGTTACAGGAACACTGGCCTATGCACCATTGACCTCGTGTGATTAAAGGTATCTTAATTGGTTACAGGAACACTGGCCTATGCACCATTGACCCCGTGTGATTAAAGGTTCCTTAAGTGTTTCGTGGGCATTGGCCTATCCACCGACTCTCATGCAGCGTTAAATTGCTATCACAAATTTATTATTCTAAATGTATATTCGAATTAGTTTTTTTTATTGAAATATTGTTTGTTTGTTTGTTTTATTGATGGGAGAAAATGTGATCTGCACGAAGCCCAAGCTTGTGACCGTGGTGGTGGAGGATATGTGGTAACGAGTTGTCAATGAGAGTATTTAGCTGTAGCCTGGTTCTAGAGATGGCCGCTAATGGTACTATTCATAAGCCATGGTCTAGACATGGCCGCTATCAAACGAGGGCAATCGGTTGTCGACATTCAGCTAGATCGCACGCCTTGATAACGTTATTCGCCATGTGAACTCCGGAAGCTGATTACTTTTTAAATCAGTAGAAATCAAGTACAGGCGAGCGAGAACAGTAACTTGTGTCAGAGATCGATTATCCAAATCCTTGTTTGACTGACGTGTTTGATAACCTCCTTGTGTCACTAGGTCTGAACCCTTGTTTGACCGACGTGTTTGATAACCGCCTTGTGTCACTAGGTCTGAACCCTTGTTTGACCGACGTGTTTGATAACCTCCTTGTGTCACTAGGCCTGAACCCTTGTTTGACCGACGTGTTTGATAACCTCCTTGTGTCACTAGGTCTGAACCCTTGTTTGACTGACGTGTTTGATAACCTCCTTGTGTCACTATGTCTGAACCCTTGTTTGACCGACGTGTTTGATAACCTCCTTGTGTCACTAGGTCTGAACCTTCGTGACAGACGTGTTTGATAACCCCCCTGTGTCACTAGGTTGATACAATGTGTGAAGCCCATTTCTGGTGTCCCCCGCCGTGATATTGCTGGGATATTGCTAAAAGCGGCGTAAAACCATACTCACTCACTCATTCACTCACTAGGTCTGAATCCTTGTTTGACTGACGTGTTTGATAACTTGCCTGTGTGACCAGATCTGAACCCTTGTTAACTGACGTGTTGACACCAGGTCTGAACCTTCGTGACAGACGTGTTTGTTAACCTCCTTGTGTCACTAGGTCTGAACCTTCGTGACAGACGTGTTTGATAACCCCCCTGTGTCACCAGATGTGAACCCTTGTTAACAGACGTGTTTGATAACCTCCTTGTGTCACTAGGTCTGAACCTTCGTGACAGACGTGTTTGATAACCCCCCTGTGTCACCAGATGTGAACCCTTGGTAACTGACGTGTTTGATAACCTCCTTGTGTCACTAGGTCTGAACCTTCGTGACTAATGTGTTTGATACACGGGGGCGACGGGGCGACGGGACGACGGGGCGACGGGGCGACGGGGCGATATAGCAGCCCCCCAGGTGTGGTCCTGCTCCAATACACGGGGCGACATAGCCCCTGGTCTGTGTTACCCATCTTGACCTCCTATAAATTCGTATAAATCCGAGTGCCCCGTATGGTTTTCATAGGCTGTATACATCCTGTAAATGTAAGAGGGATGAGGCTGTCTGTCTGTCTGTCTGTCTGTCTACGTGTGTACGAGTAAATAGGCTTAAAGGTGGGCGTATGTGTACATAGGTCAATAGGTAGGCCTTATGTGAAAATATGTAGATAGGTAGGCCTTATGTGACAATAGGTAGATAGGTAGGCCTTATGTGAAAATATGTAGATAGGTAGGCCTTATGTGAAAATAGGTAGATAGGTAGGCCTTATGTGAAAATAGGTAGATAGGTAGGCCTTATGTGAAAATATGTAGATAGGTAGGCCTTATGTGACAATAGGTAGATAGGTAGGCCTTATGTGAAAATAGGTAGATAGGTAGGCCTTATGTGAAAATAGGTAGATAGGTAGGCCTTATGTGAAAATAGGTAGATAGGTAGGCCTTATGTGAAAATAGGTAGATAGGTAGGCCTTATGTGACAATAAGTAGATAGGTAGGCCTTATGTGAAAATAGGTAGATAGGTAGGCCTTATGTGTACAGGTAGATAGGTAGGCCTTATGTAAAAATAAGTAGATAGGGAGGCCTGGTGTGTAAATAGGTAGATAGGTAGGACTTATGTGTTATAAGTAGATAGATAGGCCATATGTATAAACAGATAGATAGGTAGTCCTTATGTATAAAAGGTAGATAGGTAGGTCTTATGTGACAATAGGTAGATAGGGAGGCCTTATGTCAAAATATGTAGATATTAGGCCTTATCTACCATGCTGAAGTGTTCCAGGTTAATGAAGGCAGACCGCCCTGGTCGACTGATCTCATCAAGCTACAGGAACCTCATGACAGATTGAGTTACGTGATCTCATCCAGGAACAAGGACCACAAGGCAGACTGTCACGTGATCTCATCCAGGAACAAGGGCCACAAGGCAGACTGTCACGTGTTCTCATCCAGGTACAGGGGCGGTGGGGTAGCCTAGTGGTTTAAGCTTTCGCTCGTCACGCCAAAGACCCTGGTTCGATTCCCGAAATTGATACAATGTGTGAAGCCCATTTCTGGTGTCCCCCCACCGCGATATTGCTGGAATATTGCTTAAAACGGTGCAAAACTATATTCACTCACTCATCCAGGTACAGGGATCTCAAGGCAGGTTGTTGTTATAGATGATCTCATCCAGATACAGGGACTTCAAGACAGACCGTCAGGTGATCTCATCCAGGTACAGGGACCTCAAGGCAGGTTGTTGTTATAGATGATCTCATTCAGGTACAGGGCCTTCAAGACAGACCGTCAGGTGATCTCATCCAGGTACAGGGACCTCAAGGCAGGTTGTTGTTATAGATGATCTCATCCAGGTACAGGGACTTCAAGACAGACCGTCAGGTGATCTCATCCAGGTACAGGGACCTCAAGGCAGGTTGTTGTTATAGATGATCTCATCCAGGTACAGGGACTTCAAGACAGACCGTCAGGTGATCTCATCCAGGTACAGGGACCTCAAGGCAGGTTGTTGTTATAGATGATCTCATCCAGGTACAGGGACTTCAAGACAGACCGTCAGGTGATCTCATCCAGGTACAGGGACCTCAAGGCAGGTTGTTGTTATAGATGATCTCATCCAGGTACAGGGACTTCAAGACAGACCGTCAGGTGATCTCATCCAGGTACAGGGACGTCAAGGCAGGTTGTTGTTATAGATGATCTCATCCAGGTACAGGGACTTCAAGACAGACCGTCAGGTGATCTCATCCAGGTACAGGGACCTCAAGGCAGGTTGTTGTTATAGATGATCTCATCCAGGTACAGGGACTTCAAGACAGACCGTCAGGTGATCTCATCCAGGTACAGGGACCTCAAGGCAGGTTGTTGTTATAGATGATCTCATCCAGGTACAGGGACTTCAAGACAGACCGTCAGGTGATCTCATCCAGGTACAGGGACCTCAAGGCAGAATGTCGCTATAGATGATCTCATCCAGGTACAGGGACCTCAAGGCAGGTTGTCGCTATAGATGATCTCATTCAGCTACAGGGACCTCAAGGCAGGTTGTTGCTATAGATGATCTCATCCAGGTACAGAGACCTCAAGGCAGAATGTCGCTATAGATGATCTCATCCAGGTACAGGGACCCCAAGGCAGGTTGTCGCTATAGATGATCTCATTCAGCTACAGGGACCTCAAGGCAGGTTGTTGCTATAGATGATCTCATTCAGGTACAGGGACCTCAAGGCAGGTTGTCGCTATAGATGATCGCATTCAAGTACAGGGACCTCAAGGCAGAATGTCGCTATAGATGATCTCATTCAGGTACAGGGACCTCAAGGCAGAATGTCGCTATAGATGATCTCATCCAGGTACAGGGACCTCAAGGCAGGTTGTCGCTATAGATGATCGCATTCAAGTACAGGGACCTCAAGGCAGGTTGTTGTTATAGATGATCTCATTCAGGTACAGGGACCTCAAGGCAGAATGTCGCTATAGATGATCTCATCCAGGTACAGGGACCTCAAGGCAGGTTGTCGCTATAGATGATCGCATTCAAGTACAGGGACCTCAAGGCAGGTTGTCGCTATAGATGATCGCATTCAAGTACAGGGACCTCAAGGCAGGTTGTTGTTATAGATGATCTCATTCAAGTACAGGGACCTCAAGGCAGGTTGTCGCTATAGATGATCGCATTCAAGTACAGGGACCTCAAGGCAGAATGTCGCTATAGATGGTCTCATCCAGGTACAGGGACCTCAAGGCAGGTTGTCACTATAGATGATCGCATTCAAGTATAGGGACCTCAAGGCAGGTTGTCGCTTTAGATGATCTCATTGTTTGGGGGAGGCGAGCAGTGCATGGCGCTGTGGACACCTCAGACCTTGCGACATCACCGACAGCCACACATATATGTCATTCTTTTTATGGTGGACTTTATACATACACAGCTAAAAATATCGTGTCAAGAGCGAGGCGAGACACGCAACACGTTTGCTATAGATAGCGCTGATGGTCATTCCTATATGAATATTCATTTCTGTCGTAATCTGGCTATATGTAAATAGAAGTCCCCTGTTTTCCAGGAACTGAGAGCCAGCTTGTTTCTCCGAAGCTGCCGACAGGCATTGTATCGTGTAGGGAGGCGTGGCTTCATGAGTTTCCCCGGCACCGCCCTCTTCTATACATATTCATAAGCTGCAAAATGATGGACAAACACAAGTTGAGAAAGGTGTGTCTATATTTAAAAAATACGTTGTGCTTGAAATATAAATACAGAATATGACTGTTGGATAGGTTTATTTACATTTGAGAAATAAATGCACGAATTTCGGTGCAATTAAATTTCTTTTCAAGAGAATATATTACTATCGCGCATGACAAACGTATGAATTCTGTAACTCCATACCCCGAGTCCAGGGAGCCGCGTATTATGTGCCTTGGCACATACCTTTGACGTATGATTTAATAAATGACTTGATGTATGAAAAATACAGTACCTAACTGAGCGATGAGCGAAATATTAGGAAGAAGACACAATATATGAACAATGAAGTCAATATTGAATAGAAGATTAACAAATAAATACATAAAGAAAGAAACAAAGAATAAATGAACAAATAAATAAAGAAATAACGAAATAATAAAGAAATAAATGAGCATGGAAAACGGCTTCTTAGATGTATCAATAATAAGTAATATCTAATAATCGTGAGGTTTATTGGTAGTCGATTTTCAAAGGCACCTTTTGCGATATCTATATCCCTCTCTTTGAAATTGATATGTCTTGTTACACAATTTAATTCCCTTTACTTCCAATTTGGAAGTTATTGTTTTACTTATCTCAAGAAATAAAAAATGTTATTGCGAGCAATAGCATAAATAATTTCTGCTTCTATATGAAAAAAGAACAACGAAAGGGAACATTCACTCCATAATAGAAAATGGAAATCAGACGTAAGCCTGAATTCTGAATCATTAATCGATGATAAATATTGCATAGAGAGACTAATCAGCAAACGGCGAAAATTCGGAAGTACTTCTTCTATTGTTATATGGCCACAGAGATTAACATGTAAACATGAATCTAAACAAGTAATAAATACTAGCGGAATATTTCAGCAACCGAACATATTGAACGGAGGATCTAGGGAAATATGATTCAGTAATACAGATCCGTACCATGTGCCCATCCAGCCGCCAACAGAATCCTCCTTGTTGCGCTAATACAACATGAGTTAAAGCGTAAATGCCTCAATAATACCAGAAATCAATCACATAGCACCATGACATTCAAGTGGAACAAATTCATTGTGTCATCATGGACTACCGTTGATAAGCAATACTTACATTTCTCCGGAATTGTGAAAACAACAACATTGAAATATTGAAATTGTAGTAGTTTATTCAGAAGTAATGTAGGCCCCGGTGACACACCGACATGTACAGAGTGGGAAGGTCTCACTAGCATAGCGTCATATATGATTGATAAATGTTTTAAAATGGTTTTATTTAATGATGGCATGAACATATGAAATTGTGAATCGTTGGATATCCATAGCATTTTAAAGTAATGCACGAACGTCGCAATGCTTTGATATTAGTTCCAAATGAAATGTTAGAAATGATATTAATCTTCAATATATTTCATATCTGGCTTCACCAATAATCCTGCCCGTTTCTCGTCGTAATGTGAACCAGGTCTCAGGTCTATTTTTCAGGGACAGGTCTATTTTTCCTATGGATGACTATGTTTAACCAACGAGTATCTGTTTTGTGTCATTTACTAATGCAGCATGTCAATCTTGTTGATACGAAACTACCTAAATATTCATTTAAAAATAACATTTCATTTCGAACCATCTGTTCTTGCCAAACAAATCCGAATCCACAGACCTGCCGTGTGTGCTTTGTTTTAGATACCCATCACTACAGCCATCACTTTCTACTTGTACCAGCGTGTTACAACATAGCGAGTATTATAACATAGCGAGTATTATAACATAGCGATTATTATGACATAGCGAGTATTTGACATCTTCCATATTTTACACCAATATTTCACAGACCATTTTAAGTTATGAAATATATAATGGATATCTTCCACATTCGCCTCGCTCAATATTATTTTTCAATTTTCATTTTGTATCCCAAAATACATCTATATATATCGGTGTTGGTAGACACATATGTAATGTGTGAGGGAATATTTCAAAAGCTTAGGCAATTCCTATTTGTCATCTGTTTTGAATTTTTTTAAATTTAAATTGAGTTGAACAGAAAATTTTGAATGTCATTGAATTACTGAAAAAAATCCAACATGTTTCAATTTTTGGTGAATAAAGAAATATAGCAATGTATGTCAATTAGTCACACGCGCAGAGGAAATCAGTTTGATATATTCATTATATTAAGCCGGAACCAACATACAGTTGTGATAATTGCAGTCATATGTGTTTATTTTATTTCTGAAAGAATAAATTGTTTGGTCAGAAATGGAAAACACCGAATGAATATGTTCATCAGTCATTAAGGCACACAGTACTCGTGTGATCTGTGTGGGAAGTTCAGTAATTTAACAGTCTGTGTATATGTACAGAATTAATCATGATAGTGTCGCGTACATTGTCACACATTTGCGTCTGCTAAACTAACCCTAGTTAGGATACCCTGTTTACTGACTGTATAAGACACACGTTACTTACAAGCACACGGGGTGATAATCCAGGCAGAGAGATATACTCCGGGTGGAACATGGCGAGATGAATGTCGGCTCGACTCATTGGGTTTTTGAAACGACAGTTGAATGGGTGCATTGTAACTTCTCGGAAATATCTCACAATTTCACGGAAAAATTAGGGGGAATACCCAACTTACATAACTCATCTCGCTGGATATAGCTGACATTGTCACTGATACTGCTAACCCGCTGTGAGCATTCATTTAAAACTCAGCACCCGGAAATAAGCGGAATATCATCGGGGTACAGCACGATTGAAGAATGCAGAACCAGTAAAATATGTAAAAGCAGATGGATAACTTGCGAGTGTAGTTTTTCATGAGTTTGTCGCTTCCAGTTGTTTCTTTCATTTCTTTTTTAATAAATATTCGATTTGAAGTGAAGTTTCTAATTTTTGTCAATTCAAACAATTTCAAGATAACGCCAGCGGTATTTATTTATTATACATTCTTATCTTCGTGATGTTAAAATGGATGTACGTTAAACTAAGGACAAAGCTGTATGTAAACATTACGTTCTTGACACATAAATATATATATGTTTATTTATATATCATATGTATATAAATAAACATATCCGTCCCTGACTTGTATTGTATATCTTAACCGCGTGATTTACATGCAGTTACATGTCGTTGAATGCAGATAATTTATCGAATGCTCCGTGAAAATGGAAAAAGCTGCGTCATATCAGCTTCATTTGTAAGGTCCTATTTTGCTTCTTTTCATCAAACACTGGTATGAAGCAGTTAGGTAAAATATATCCCATTTACGATTTATTTTATCTATCTCACACAATTAAGCTTTTAGTTTCCAATGGGCGCTGTTACAATACAGTGCGTGTGTTTATCTACAAGTGATTTGAAACAAATACGGTGGAGATTAATAGTGCTGAGTACAAACCCACACAAAACGCTTTAATTCTGAACTGATGGCTTTCAATCTTCTCCCTTTGCAAAGCAACCAAATCAGCAACCTATTGTAACTCAACTTCACCGATATGTTGCTGAAGTCCCTTGTCAAAATGACTGGTTGCTAAGAGCGACTGTTCGTATGACAGTGTCTGGGCGGGGTGATGCCTTAATACTGACAGACATTAATTTTGATAATGGAGACGGGAGGGGCATCATTTTTTAACACAAAATATATATTGTTTGTTGGATATAATGGATGTCCTGAAATATAAATGTGTTGCGAGAAGTATTGTTTTTGTTCCTCCTTCCAAAGAATAAAATGCGTGTTTTGAAGATGTAACCACAGAAAGGTCCTGTATGCAGCAACACTCCACGGCGCCATCCACAATAATTCACGTTGGGTCATTTAGTACAGTGAAGTCAAGACGCTTGTAGTGACGTATTAATTAATATGTTATGCCAATACTATTAGTATGTTGTCCAATCTGTACAATAAGACACCATTTCAACCAGTAAACCGCTGTACGTAGCGTTAGTTCATGTAGAGGAGAGCACGTACACCTATTTAAACTGCCCCGTGCTACGACGCGTTCCTGTCGTCACCATGGAATTCGCTATTTCTGAACTCCCAACCACACCGAGTTCGTCGCATTAATACATATATTTTATCATTTACTAACATATATTGTACAATACTTGTATATTTGTAATTTGGCTATGTTGTTTGTGATGACTTTCAATACCATGTGTATACGTGACATTACCTGCATGTCAAATATGTCTGTTGTAAATAGTTAGTTGGACATTCTGTTAACATCGCCTTCACCAATACACGTATATGTTAACATGTGTAAATGTTGTATGTTGGAAGTTTTTTAATGTTGAAATAATCGGTATAGTATATATTGCTGGTGGTATGTTGGTTGTTTTGCCGACACGTGATCGGGTGCGTGCCTGGGAATAGTTGCTGATAATCTGTCAAACTGAACCTTGTCATGTGGTGATTGTAATGATTGTAGCCTTCACAAGACCTTAAGGACTCGTTGCTGTTTACGGGGTGATCGTTACACTGGCTATTTATACACTCTCGCCTTATATACCCTCGGATTTCCTCAACCCTTGTCCAATGTCACCAATATCACCGAAGATAGTCGCGTGATGTGCCACGGCCCCCGTCCTTGACATACAAAAATCAGTATTTTTGAACAAAACGAATAAACTATTTATTCGGTCTAATAACCACTTTCCCTTTTGATGAAAGAAGGTTTCGTACAGTCCCAGTTATTTTCTAACAAACTGTGCACATATGTGTAAAAAGAAGCATTCCCAAAATATACCAGGAAGTTGTTTTGATTGGTCCAAATATTAACCAATCGCAGCAGTTATTTTGTGGGTAGAAGAAGGTCAAAGAAGGATTTGCTTCTGAATAGGTGACCTCGAAATAAGATAAAATGCAAAGTAACGGTCTCTGATTTAATCATCTGATCCAGGTTATAGTTCTCGATATATGATCAATAAGATTCAAAACGTTGCTTGTTTTTGCAGGATACAATCAGACAGGTGCATGCACTGTTCTGTTGTTTAATACCCAATACAGGTGTATGTGTCATTATATGACATACTGGGCGTGCGTGTAGATTATGACTGTTTGGGGGTATAAAGAACGCTGCCGGGGGGTCTGTCTGTTGTCTGTTTGTTGTCTGTTTCTATTCAGCTGATTCCGCACAGTCACTCCTGGGATGAATCTACGAGATACATTTCACCAAGTCACCAGGCGCCTCATGCACCCCATAACACGCACACTGATCACAGGGTAGACTCAATGTTGTTTACAAGTAGAAAGCCATGAAGAAACAACACAACAAATAGACAGGTTAATGTGGACAAAGAAAGTACTGTGTAAATTAAGCACACAAATCACAACCTGATATAGTATCCCCTGCAGTAGGTAATACTCACCATTCTCTTCAGCATAATACATTGGTGAAGATCGTTTTTAAAAATATCCAATCCGGAGAATATGTGCATTAAATAACCACGTACTAACTGTAGACACGTGCCTATGGTGGATTAGGACATGCCGACATAAGATGAACCTAGCACATCATATATAAAAAAACAACGATGGGAGACGAAGCGATATTGATATCCTGCTAGGCTAATGCAGTCCAGTTAGCGTTATAACATTGACGATATATAACATTAAACCTGACTTGGTTGATGCACGTCATCGATCCCGATTGCGTGGATCGATGTTCATGATGTCAATCACTGGATTGTCTGGTCCAGACTCGATTATTTACAGACCGCCGTCATATAGCAAGAATATTGCTGAGCACTCCTCTCTAAACGCTTAATTCTAAACGCTCCTCTCTCAACGCTCCTCTCTAAACACTCCACTCTAAGCGCTCCGCTCTAAACGATCAATTCCAAACACTCCACTCTACCTACTTAATTCTAAACGCTACTCTCTCAACGCTCCTCTCTAAACACTCCACTCTAAGCGCTCCGCTCTAAACGATCAATTCCAAACACTCCTCTCTACCTACTTAATTCTAAACGCTCCTCTCTCAACACTCCTCCCTAAACGCTTAATTCTAAACGCTCCTCTCTTAACACTCCGCTCTGAAAACTCCGGTTTAAACGCTTCACTTTAAACACTCCACTCTAAATACTCATCTCCGAACGCTACCGTACATACACTGGTTTGGCTGGATGCCCTGTAACTAACTTGACCTTACGTGAAAAGCGGCAGTGAATATGTCTTGAAATTCCTCCTTAGGCCTCCCTCAATATTTTATAGGTTACTTTCTAAAAGGTCATCTATTCAATCTCCGCAGTTTCTCAAACCAACTTTCACAAACATCGGTAAAAGTGATTACTGAATAGCGATACACATCAGGTCGAGTGACCGAGAAACGCCTGTCATACATTCAGATATATTCAATAACATTCATCATATATATGCAGCTTACTCTTTCTTACAAATACTCTGTCATTTATTCATTTTGATTAACAAAGACCCATGTGTGACGGAATGTTCTTTCTGAGAAGGTTATGCTTTAAATTGAAATACGTGTTCACCAATACCAGTATATATGATGAGCGTGGTGTAATATATGTAATTAGCACGACTAGTACTTAAGTAGTAGACAGACAACATATATGTTACGTCTGGTAGTCATATCAAGCATGTTATTTCCGAAACTTACAATTATGTTTTTTTTATCTGATTTATGCATGTGATGGTATTCAGTGAAGGCATGTTTCCTTTCAACCAGGCAGTAGTGAGTGAGTGAGTGAGTTGGGTTTAGCGCCGCTTTTAACAGTATTCCAGTTATATCAAGGCGTGTCAGCTTGATGTGGGAGGAAAGCCCGAAGAGATGCAGGTCTCAGACGTTTACCACTTCGGTGAAACCCACGAGCACGGGTATGGTGCTGACAAACCTAGAAACATAATCGGGGCGAACCAGAATTCGAACCTACAATCATAGGTTTCTGGTGTGCCCAAGGGACGCAACTCTGCAATGCAAATCGCGGCGCTTAGACGACTGGCCCCCCCGTGCCCCCAGTCAGACAGACGTGGTTGTCCGCCTATGTCGTCTCATGGTAGAGCGTCTGGCCGGTAGAGCGTCTGGCCGGTAGAGTGTCTGGCCGGTAGAGCTGCAGGTCGGTAGAGCGTCTGGCCGGTAGAGCGTCTGGCCGGTAGAGTGTCTGGCCGGTAGAGTGTCTGGTCGGTAGAGTGTCTGGCCGGTAGACAGGCAGGCCGGTAGAGTGTCTGGTCGGTAGAGTGTCTGGCCGGTAGAGCGTCTGGTCGGTAGAGCGTCTGGCCGGTAGAGCTGCAGGTCGGTAGAGCGTCTGGCCGGTAGAGCGTCTGGCCGGTAGAGTGTCTGGCCGGTAGAGTGTCTGGCCGGTAGAGAGGCAGGCCGGTAGAGCGTCTGGCCGGTAGAGCGTCTGGCCGGTAGAGTGTCTGGTCGGTAGAGAGGCAGGTCGGTAGAGCGGCAGGTCGGTAGAGAGTGTGGCCGGTAGAGTGCCTGGTCGGTAGAGCGTCTGGCCGGTAGAGTGTCTGGCCGGTAGAGAGTCTGGCCGGTAGTGCGTCTGGCCGGTAGAGTGTCTGGCCGGTAGAGCGTCTGGCCGGTAGTGCGTCTGGCCGGTAGAGTGTCTGGCCGGTAGAGAGTCTGGCCGGTAGTGCGTCTGGCCGGTAGAGTGTCTGGCCGGTAGAGCGTATCATGGTAGAGCGTCTGGTCGGTAGAGAGTCTGGCCGGTAGAGAGTCTGGCCGGTAGAGAGTGTGGCCGGTAGAGTGCCTGGCCGGTAGAGCGTCTGGCCGGTAGAGTGTCTGTCCGGTAGAGAGTCTGGCCGGTAGTGCGTCTGGCCGGTAGAGTGTCTGGCCGGTAGAGCGTATCATGGTAGAGCGTCTGGCCGGTAGAGTGTCTGGCCGGTAGAGCGTCTGGCCGGGAGAGTGGCACGTCGGTAGAGCGTCTGGCCGGTAGAGTGTCTGGCCGGTAGAGAGTCTGGCCGGTAGAGCGTCTCATGGTAGAGCTCTGGCCGGTAGAGTGTCTGGCCGGTAGAGTGTCTGGCCGGTAGAGCGTCTGGCCGGTAGAGTGTCTGGCCGGTAGAGCGGCAGGCCGGTAGAGCGTCTGGTCGGTAGAGCGTCTGGCCGGTAGAGTGTCTGGCCGGTAGAGTGTCTGGCCGGTAGAGTGGCAGGTCGGTAGAGCGTCTGGCCGGTAGAGCGTCTGGCCGGTAGAGTGTCTGGTCGGTAGAGTGTCTGGCCGGTAGAGCGTCTGGTCGGTAGAGTGTCTGGTCGGTAGAGAGGCAGGCCGGTAGAGCGTCTGGCCGGTAGAGCGTCTGGCCGGTAGAGCGTCTGGCCGGTAGAGTGGCAGGCCGGTAGAGCGTCTCATGGTAGAGCGTCTGGCCGGTAGAGCGTCTGGCCGGTAGAGAGTCTGGCCGGTAGAGTGGCAGGTCGGTAGAGCGTCTGGCCGGTAGAGCGTCTGGCCGGTAGAGTGTCTGGCCGGTAGAGAGTCTGGCCGGTAGAGCGTCTGGCCGGTAGAGCGTCTGGCCGGTAGAGCGTCTGGCCGGTAGAGTAGCTGGTCGGTAGAGTGTCTGGCCGGTAGAGAGTCTGGCCGGTAGAGTAGCTGGTCGGTAGAGTGTCTGGCCGGTAGAGCGTCTGGCCGGTAGAGTGTCTGGCCGGTAGAGAGTCTGGCCGGTAGAGCGTCTGGCCGGAAGAGCGTCTGGCCGGTAGAGCGTCTGGCCGGTAGAGTGTCTGGCCGGTAGAGTGTCTGGCC